TCAGCAGGGAGACGTGGGGACTTTTGGAATTGCCTCCCCACCAGGCCAGGGTTCAAGTGGGGCCAGAGCCACGGGGAAGGAAGAGGCTTTGAGTGCTGCAGCCGGCAGCACCGGCTCCTGTGTGAGCAACCAGGATGATTGCAGCAGCCGCCCGGAGCCCGTGGGTGAGGCCCTGGCATGAGCAGAGATGCTGGTGGGACAGGAGACACCCTAGAGGCCCCCTGGTTTGAACTGCCATGCAACAGAAATGCCTGGCTCAGGAGCCACCACGTGTGCCCCTCACACGTGCATGCCAGCAGCCCTTGTGCAGCTCCCAGCGTCCCATTCCCGACCTGGGGGGTCTGTACAGTGCCTGGCACCCCCTATCTCACCTGGGGGGGCTGGACACAGCCTGGTGCCCCCTGGCTTTAGCCCAGGGTGTCTGTACTGTGCTCAGCACCCCCCAATCTCAGCCTAGGGGGACTGTGCAGCATCCAGCGCAGCCCCATCTTGTGCCCAGTCCCTAGTCTGATCTCCTCTAGTCTGAGCTGGGGCAGGGGCTGAGCTGGGGCCTGGTGACCTGATCGAGATCTACCCCAGCTCCCAGCCCTGGGGCTTGCACATTTGCAAGGGCTATGTCATCCACTGACATCTCATGGTAAGGACCAGGCCTAGGAGAAGGGAGAAGGGGGCACCAGGCTGGGGCAGGGACAGGTACAGGGGCAGGGGAGGGGCAGGAACAGGGTGGAGGAACTGGGCAGCAGCCGGGGCAGGGGGGAAACAGTTTGGGTTGGGATCCAGTGTGTGTAACATTTGGGGTGGGGGACAGTGAGTTGTGCCTGGCTGAGGAGTGGTGATGGCTGCAGCTGGGGACTCCAAACATCTGGGGGGGTTGGCATCAGGGGGGCATTTAGGGGGTATCTAAGGCATCTGGTGGGGTGTGGACACCCAGGGCATGTAGGGGGCACATAGCTCTTCTGGAAGAGTGTAAGCATCTAGGAGGCATCCAGTGGGGTATAAGCATCTGGGGCATGTAGGGGTCATCTAGGGCACAGGCATCTGTGACAGGGCTGGCATCCCGTGGTGCTGTAGCACATTCTTGTGACCACACGACTCCTGCCTCCTTCAGTCCTTCCCTCTTACTCTCTTGCCATGCCTTTATGGTGGTCAAGAAGAAAATGCTGGGAAGCTGCCCAAGGCCCCGGGGGACTGCAGTCCACTGCCACATCACTCTCTAGCCAGTCCGCCGTGGCCCTCTGGAGTCTCTCGGTGTCTTCAGGTCTCAGGCCGCCTTACTCACCTTTCCAGTCTCATGCTTTGACCTTCTCGGTTTCCACTTACTTGTGTCTCGAGTCCTGGTCCCCGGCAGGGCCCAAAACACCCCTATGCCCCTCGAGCGCCCTGTGGCTCGCACCCCTGCCCCAGGCAGAGCTCGTCAGGCACTCCTGTGGCTTAAACCCCAGTGCCCCCCTCAGACACCCCGCTGTGATGACTCATTGCCCCTTCTAGCCACACCTGGTCCGCCCGTAGGACTATAACTTAAAGGCAAGCTATCGCTATCACGAACCTCGCTGTTCTGGGTAAACTAACGTCAGAAACTCCAAGGCAGGCTGTCAGACACCGATAAACGTCAGAGCAGCCCTTGCCCCAGGTGCTCGCTCCGTGTCCTACAAGGGCTCCGGGGGCAGCTCCTTGGCTCCCTGCGAGGTGCACCCTGCCAGCATGGCACCGCTTATGTCCCATGGGCACTGCCTTAGCTGAGTCAGGTGGCGCAGGTGTTTGCCTTCAGTGCAGATGGGCAGCTCACACTGTTCTTGTTGCTGCCGCCTAGGTTTGGCTGCTTATCTGCCTGCTCCCCATTCCTAGTCTCTGGTTCCATAACAGCATCTAAGGGGGGCTTCTAGTGAATGTAGTGGGGTGTAGGCATCTAGGGCAGTGATTCTCAACCTTTTTGTACCAGGACTCATTTGTAAACATCAGTGACAAGTCCTGACCTAGTGCCCCTCACTCCTGACCCACTGCCCCCTGACCCCCATGTGGGGCAGGAGGGCGAGGCCCCAAGCAGCCCCTTGCAGGCTGGACCTCTGCCAGCCTGCAAGGGAAAAGCCACGGTTTCCCGTGTTTTTCTTCTTTAAAGGAGAATCCATTTTTAACGTTTGTTTGTGACCTTTTCACATATTCTTGCAACCCACTTTTGGGTGGTGGCCCAGGGATTGAGAAATGCTGCCCTAGATGCCTATCTCCCCCTACATGCCTCCTAGATGCCTACGCTCTCCTTGAAGTGCTATGTACCCCCTAGATGCCCTGGGTGTCCACACCCCGCTTACACCCCACTAGATACCCCCTAGATGCCCCTCCCCCATGGTTGTGTTGCACAAATGGCTAGTTTCGTGCCCCTGGAGGCTTGTCCAATCCACCCCTAGGAGAGAGTCACACACAGGCTGGGTCCAAGTTCAGATTTATTGTTTGCAAACAAGTTCGACAAGGGAGCTTAATTTATTCAAATCCGTGTCGACCCCAAACAGAGTCTGGGGTTCCTTTTTATAGCTAACATAAACAAAAGATTCTAACGTGTCGCGTAATTGTTGGCAGCCCAAGTATTACGTCTTATAACATATGTCTAGCAGGTACATGTTTTATGATGGTTTACATACATGTCTCATTTACATCTTAAATCTCCTCCCTGGGGCCGTCCTTAAGTCCATTTCGGTCATTCTTCGGTCAAGGTCTGAGTTCTTCACATCAGCACCTTTCCCTGTGCCTTTTCTCTTATCTCTCGTAAGGAGTTATTTGTTGCATCTGTTCCTGGCTATGTCTGCAGAAGTCTAGTGCTACTCGTAAATCTATCATTGGCCTACATACCTTAGCAGAAGCAAGTGTGATAATATGCAGAAGCAATTATGTAGTGAAACTAAACAGTTCTCAGCTGTGAAGCCTTTGTGTAGGGAGATGAGACATTTTTACCACACAGCTGCTACACAAACGTTATTGCAAAATCATAATGACTAGATTATAACATATTTTTATCACAATATTGCTGTATCTTTCTTTCCAATAGGTAATCCAAGAAGCAGAGGAAAGAGCAGCAAGAACAAAATTTAGCAAGTATGAATCACAAAACTGTACCTTTTGAAGGGCATAAGATGATCTGCATTCAGCTAAACAAATGCAAAAATACTCAGATCTTTATAGCCTAGTTCTTTCCAAAAGTCAGGACCATGTCCCAAATGCATATGGATATACCTGACACCAGCACTATTTAAAAGCCTCCTTTTAAAAATAATCAGATTTAGATGATACCATTGGTGGATGGTGTACATATTGCCAAGTACTGCACATACTTCTAGTTTATGCAGTTTTCCCATTATGATACACTAAGTCATAACAATAAATATTCAACTTGGAAATGACCAGCTAAAGCCCATTAAAATCTACTGTTTATCCATGTAAAGTTAAAAAGACTTCTTAACAAATACTGGAAATTTTGTGTACAGTGACTGAACTATTGCAAGTATATTTCTTTTAGGTCTGGTAGAATTCTAGCTATTCATTGCATTGTAGGTTCATTTATTGTTACATTCCAAAATCTATATAAAGTTTATGGCTCTTTCGCTAATACTATGATAAATATTTGGTACAGCATAATAAAATAGCTAGCAAATGATAATTTTACCTTCTGCTCTGCATTGCAATAATTACTTCCCTTAGGAGTACATCCTAGTCTTTTGTCACTTTGATAGCCACCGTTATTTTCAAATGAAGCAGTGGAACAGCTAAAGGAGATGGATGCATATGCAACGAGCTTTTAATCACAGATATGAACATACCTAAAGCAGCAACACTCTTCGGAACAACGTATCTGTGGCTCCACAG